CCTGCCTCTGCCTCCCAAGTGCTGGGACTACAGGCGTGTGCCACTATGCCCGACTATTTGTATTTTTGAGATAGGGTCTTATGTAGCCAAAACTGGCCTCAAACTCACTATAAAACATAGATGATCTTGAACTTCTGATTCTTCTGCTTCCACCTCCCAAGTGCTGGGATTATAGGCTTGCACCCCTGCTTCTAGTTATCTTTTTTTTTTTTTTTTTGGTCTTTTTGAGACAGGGTCTCCCTGCAGCCTCAGCTAGTCTGGAACTCAATATGTAGACCACTCAGGCCTTGATCTCACTGAGATCTGGCTGCCTCTGCCTCCTGAGTGCTGGGATTAAAGGCATGTGCCACCACGCCTGGCTTTATCTTATTTTTTGTAACTAAAACAGCCTAATTGTTTTCCTGTGTTATGAAAATTCTATTTTGGCATAATATTCTCTCATATGGCTGTAATAAAATATATTTGGTAATTTACCAATTGCTGTAAATCTGGGTTGTCTTTAATTTTGTACTCTTAGATACAGCACTTTGATAAACATTCTTTGTCAAATGTCAAATTCTTTGAGGTCAGGGATTGTGTTTTTACCAATATTCAACACACATCATGGCTTACTGTTGAGTTAACAAATACTAATTTGTTTCCATTCTGAATTATTTTAAGCATTAATTCCCTGAGGTAAAATCAAGTCAAAGGATATGGACAATTTTTGAGACATAATACTAAATTGCTTTTTGTGCATGTAATACCAATATAATTTATCACTAACAATATTATGACAGTAGTTTGCTTAATGCAAATAAAGTATTTCTCTTATTTTGTCTTAGCTTGCTTTTGAAACATGTATGGATTGCATTCACCTACATTAAACTGGTAATAAATTTAGATATAATTTCAAATTTTTATTGATTATGTGTAGTTCCTCAATTATGAGGCCAACCTCACCTTGTCTTGGGAGTAGGAGGCAGTTTTGGCTGGCTTCCTTGAAGAAATGACACCTAAACTGAGAAGTTGACCAGGCTCAAAACACTCATTAGCAACAGAAGGAAAACTAGTGAATTTACAGCAGATAAAGCTGGGTGATACCACCTTAATGAAGTGATCAAAAACAGTATCAATGGGACAGAGTTACATCATGTACTTCCTGATGTTAGATAAAGGGTACAGCAGCACCTCTGTGATGTTCTTCCCCAAAACATGTAACTTGAATCATGAGGTATCACACAAAATAAAACTTGAACTCTGGAGTCTATATAGATAACTGGTTTAGAGTTGCATAATAAGAAGTGCAGAAGAGCCTGGAGTGGCACTGCATGAACATAGTCCTGGGGTGGCAGAGGTAGCAGGATCAGGAGTTCAGGTTATCCTCAGCTACATAGTGACTTCAAGGCCAGCCTGTACTATGTGAGACCTTACCACAAATAAACAAAAAGCTGAAGGGAGTACTAGGGTACAACTACACCTGTGGTAGAGTATGTGCTTACCAGCACAACACTCCATCCCTATGACGAAGTCAAACCAATCAAACAAAGAAAAACTAGCCTGCATTCTTCAAAGATGCCAGTGTCCCAAAACACAATACTGAAGTATTGTTCCAGACTGAAAAAGCCAAAAGAGATATTATACCAAAATGTAACTTGTTATCCTAGACTGGATTCTGCACCACAGGATTTTTATTTTATTATAAATGCCATTATTGGCACAATGAAAGAAACTTGAATAGGTTCTGAGGTGTGTATAATGATAGTGCTTAGTTCCTGATTGTTATGGTCTTATCCTGGTTATGGAAGAGTCTTTAGGAAGTACATAGTGAAGTGCTGAGAAGCAGTGGCTGATCATGTCTGCAGTATATTTTCAACTAGCTCATAAAAAAGTGTGAAGGGGTATGTGTGTGTTTGTGTGTGTGTGTGTGTGCGTGTGTAAATAGCACGAGAGAAAGTAAAAGCAAGTATTAACAAGTGGGGAACTTGCATAAATGGTATGTAGAAATTTTTCGTACTGTTCTTTTTTTCCTCTCTTTTGAGACAAGAGTCTCTGCATCTCCAACTGACCTGGAATTTGGTATGTAGACCAGGCTGGCTTTGATCTCACATAGATCCTCCTGCCTCTGTCTACTGAGAGCTAGGATTAAAGGTGTGTAGCCACCATGCTTGGCTGTACCATTTCTGAAGCCTTCCTCTAGTTTAAAGTGATTTCAAAATAAAAAGAAGCATCAGATGTAGGTCAGGTGTGGAACACTTGCCCAGTACTTTCTGTAAGGTCGTATCAGGGATTTACAAAATGTATCATAGCCTTATAATGTTTTTTGTTTATGTCTGAGTTTTTTTGAGACAGGTCTTCCGTAGCCTCAGCTGGCCTGGAACTCGCTATGTAGACCAGGCTGGCCTCAATCTCATAGAGCTCCACCTGCCTCTGCCTCCCCAGTACTGGGATTAAAGGCATGTGCCACCACACCCAGCTCAATATTCAAAGTTTTGTCGGAGAAATCTGAATTTTCCTTGTAGTTTAAAAGAATAAGTAGTTTGATGGTCCACATTAAGTTTTTATCTATGGCAAAGGTGTATCAGACTCCATTGACCCATACTTGGTATGAAGAAGAAAGAAAAATTACCTTGGCCATTCCAACTGAACTGGCATTCAATTCTGAGATTCCTTGGTTGGTCTTGTCTCCACGTTCCCATATCCCAAAGTCCTGACATAAAACAATGAAGATAAGACTAGGAAATCATAACCACTAAACTCTGTGTGTACAATCCCAGAATAAAAATTACCAATAGTAGCTAATTTTCCATACATATGCATACCTGCATTGGTTACTGAGGAGCTGACAATGTGTTGGGTGGCCCCTGAAGCTACTTTAACCATAGCTTTAAAGTGAATTGGGGCCTCGAAGAAGATGGAGGTATCTTCAACACTTAATCAGAAGATATAAGAAATATAACTCAGGTCATCTCAAGCTTTCACCATAGTAGATTCCAATACAGTCTAGAACATGAAGGCTAAACGGTAGCTGGTACTGTATCTCCAACATACATTCTAATTTTCCTCTGTTGGTGCTGACAATGTACCATGCACTAACCTGTGTATTATCTTCCTTAATTCTTACATTCTACAGATGATGAAACTGAGCTACAAAAAGAAGTTAAGTAAACTTACCCAAGGTCATATAGCTAGTAAGTGACAGAACTAAGATTAGAGTCCAAGGACTCTTACCCTGAAACCTACTCTTAGCCATAACTTTATACATCCCCTTGGTAATCTAAAAGTAATATTTAAAATTACTTTTAAGACATTTTATTTTGAAATAAATTTACATATAGAGATAAATTGCAAAAAATAACACAAGTTCCTGTACACCTCTGTTTTCCCTACTGTTAACACCCAACATAACCATACTACAATTGTCAAAGCTAAGAAATCAATATCAGTATAATACCATTAAACTGTGGACTTTATTTAGCTTTTCCAAGTTTTTTCATCAGTAATCTGGTCTTTTTGTTTTATTTTGAGACAGGGTCTCATGTAGCTCAGGCTGGCCTCCAATTTGCTATATAGCCTAGGATGATCTTGGACTCCTGATCCCCTTGCCTCAACTCCTCAAATGCAGGGATTGCAAACATATACAACCATGACTGGCTACCTGTAGGCTTTTATACATTCCAGGATTCCATGCCATTCCTGCCTTATTTCCTTAGTGACTTCCAATCTCAACTCTTGAAACTCATGACCTTGACAGTAATTAAAAAAAAACTAGTGAAAGTTCAATAAAGTCCATGGCGTGGTTAATACTGAGTTTCTTCATTTTACTATTATTTTTCCATTTGTAATTAATAAATACTTGGAGAAACACTTTATGATTATATAAATATCACAAGGCAGGGTAGCTCATGCCTGTAATGATTCAGGAGGTGAGACTGTCTCAAAAACACAAAAATAAAAAGATCATGTCAATAGTCTATTTCTCTTTAAACACACAGTCATTTAGTGTTCATTGTTAGATGTTGCCTGCAGCAATTATTACAGTGATGTTTTAATCATAATTTTCTTGTTTCTTTATTACTCTTATCACTCATTGCACCTCTTTTCCAAAGAATACAGTCCCCTGTTCCTTGCTTTTTTCCTTATTCAGTTATTTTTTAATTTTAATTAATTAATAATTATTGTGTGTATGAGGTATATGTGGGTACACATACCACAGGATGTGTATGGAGGTCAGAGGAAAACTTTGTGGAATCCATTCTCTTTCCACTTTTATGTCAGTTCCAGGGATTGAACCAAGGTCGTCAGGCTTTACCCACTAAGCCACCTTTCCAGGCTTTCATTCATTTAGTTAATATTAGTATGCCCTTGTGGATACTTGGGCTGTTCCTGGTTTATAATGGGATACTTTCACTATTTTGTTGCTCAAGTTGTTTAATTGTTCCAGGTTTGGCCATTGGGTATCTTTTAAGGTAGGATCCTGTGCCTTTTTATTTATGGTATTTTTCTTGTGCCCTATTTCTCACTGAGCATTTCTTCACTGCATGACACCGTGAGTCTCTTGGGGCTGGGAAGATGGCTTAGCAGTTAAGAGCACTGGCTGCTCTTGCAGGGGACCCAGGTTCAGCTCCCAGCACCCACAGAGTGGCTAACAACTGTCTGCAACCCCAGTTCCAGGGTATCTGACAGCCTCTTCTAACCTCTGTGGGCATTATACAACACTGGTGCATTTACATGCATACAGGCATAAGACTCATGCATATAAAATAAAAATAATGAATACAAATTTATAAAAAGATTCTCCAGTCTCATCATGTATTTTCCTTGCCCTGGCACTATGTCTAAAAGGAGCCCCAGTTTATTCTATTAAAACATGGTTGCTACAATCCAAGACCAGAGCACTTATTAATGTTAATTGTCATTGGGATGCTATTGTTTCAAATCCCTCACTGAACAGAATATAAAGACAGAAATATGCACATATGTTGTATTAGTTACATTTCTGTTGCTGTGATAAAACACCATGACCAAATGCTACTTATGGAAGGGTTTATTTTGGTTTATGGTTCCAGAAGGAGAGTACATAATGGCAAGGGGAGGCATGGCAGCAAGCAGCAGGCATAGTGGCAGGAGCAGGAAGCCAGAGTTCACATCTTCAATCACAAATATGAAGCAGAGAAAGGAAACTGGAAGTGGGGCAAGGCTATGAACTCCCAAAGCCTACCACCAGTGACACACTTCCTCCAGCAAGGCTATCTCTCCTAAAGAGTCCATGACTTCCCCCAAACAGTGCCACCTACCGGGGACAAAGTAGTCACATACTGGAACTAATGGGGGAAAATTCCCATCAAACCATCCCACACATATACGTGTACACACACACAGACACACACACAGACACACAAATTATAGTTTGGATCTGAAATATCCTCCAAGTAGACATGTGCAAAATGCTTGGTTACCAGATTTTGTGGCACTACTGGAATGTGCTGTTACCTTTAGTAGGTGGGGCCTAGCAGAAGGAAGTAAGGTCATTTGGGGGGTGGTATTGGTGGGGGGGTGCTAGAGGGGTCCCTGACTCTTTTTTTACTTCTACTGTTACAATCTCTAGATGCAACAGAAAGGCCAAATGCTTCTTATTTTCATTCTGAACCACAACAAGCTTGTAGTAATTACATGCTGACAAATAATACTTGCTTTCCTTAAGAATGTCTATCTTTGGCCATGTGTGTGGGACATGCCTTTAATCCCAGCACTTGGGAGGCAGAGGCAGGCAGATCTCTGTGAGTTCGAGGCCAGCCTGGTCTACATAGTGAGTTCCAGGACAGCTGGGGCTACAGGGAGACCCTGTCTCAAAAAGATAAAAAAAGAAAAAGAATGTCTATATTATAAAGAAGAAAGATAGTAGATGACACTCATGCACCAACAAATAGAATCTCGGGGAGGGGGGTGAATAGAGATCATTGAAGAACAGCAATCCTCTGAGGTGGGTGACAGTGGAATGATGCTGATTTCGGTAGTGAAGAAATAAAGGAAACTTTACAAAATGGAAGAGAAGGAATGAGACTCCAGAATCTATTCTGGAGGGCTCAGCCTCAAGCTGGGAGTATTCAGTTTCAAGTGCAGAATGTGAGAAACTGCAGAGTGGGAACCATGGCTTCAAAGAGAGAGCCTCAAAAATACCCACTGTACTTTCAATAAGAAATAATACAGTGAAAAGTGTATGATGGGGTCAGGTGGTTGGACAAGGGACAAAAGTCCCATGGCACTTACACAAGCTCAAGGAGGGAGAGAGACCAAGGGGGTAACAATAGAGACACTAAAAAATACAACTCTGAACTTATTACTGAAAAGATCTGCAGTCCAACCAGACAAGAATCTTGGTATCCACACACCATAATAGGTGCTGGAAAAATGCTCTCTCCTTGGCACAGGAACTGAAGCAGTGGCAAGAAGCCACTACTAAAAGACCCCTGCTGGGGGCTGGAGAGATGGCTCAGTAGTTGAGAGCTCTGACTGCTCTTTCAGAGGACCCCAGTTCAGTTCCCAGCACCCACACGATGGCTAACAACTGTCTGTAACTCCAGTTCCAGGGGATCCAATGCCTTCTTCCGACCTCTGGGTGAATTGCACGTCATGGGTGCATTTATACACATGCAGGTAATACACTCATACACATAAAATAAAAATAATAAATAAGACAGTTTAAAAAAGACCCCTGCTGAGTCATCAGCTAGGTGTCTCTAGAGGCAAAGGTCCCTTTTACACAGCCCACTCTGAGAACCCAGGGCAAGTGTCAGGGGACTATACTCTGAGATCTGGCCTGCAGAATTCCTCTAGCTAAAGGGGGAAAGCTTTGAGTCAGATCATTGTGAAAATCTTGTCTGAGCCACAGAACAGAGTGTGACTTACTAGCTCCCTAGAAGAGGGATGAATAGTATCAAGTGTTTAAAGGTGCCAGGGTCTAAGATACACCAGTGAAAAGCTCTGTGTTCTACCTAGAGACAGAAAGACACCTAGGATACAAACCATACTCTCTGTGGAACACAAAGATCAACAGAGGAAGAAAAATACCACAAAGGTTATGCTCTCATCAGAAGATATTCACCTAAAAGGCCAGAGATGTTAAAACAAGATATCATGGACAGACTCTGCACCTCCCTAGGCAAATGATGGCATAAAGGCAGACTATACCTGAACTCAGGCAAGTGCCATCCTCAGAGGATGGGAACTCAGAACTCTTTAATTTTTTTGCTACAGTTTTTTTGTGTCTGTGTATGTGTATGTGTACATTTTGTGTTCATGTGTGCATATCTATATGCAAGTGCATGTGCATGGTATACATATGCAATGGGGAGGTCAGGGGTCAACACTGAGTGTCCTTCTTAATCATTCTCCACTTTTTTGCATTGCTGGGATTGAATTTAGGGCCTCACACATACTAGGCAAGTGTGCTGGATAGCTTGAGTGTCAATTTGACGCACCTGGGTTGAGGGAGCCTCAATTGGGGAATTATCTTCATTGGACTGGCCTGTGACCATGTCCACGGGGCACCTTCTTGATTGTTGAGTAGTGATGTGGGAGGGCCCAGCCCACTGTGGGTGGTGCCACCCCTGGGCAGGTGGGCCTGTGTTGCATAAGCAAGCAGGCTGAGCAGGGGCCAGGGGAGCATGCCAGTAAGCAGAGTTCCTCCATGGGCTGCACTCCAGCTCC